AGGAGAGTGGGAGGGAATCAGACACTGAGGACGGTGGTGCCGGCAGCTGGGGGACCGAAGCCTGGAGTAGGACACTGGGGCATTACATGGCCAGGTGAGCTGTCCCCCAGCTTCCTGCCGAATCTGGTGCTACTGAGCTTCCTGAGGGCCCAAGATGACGCCGAGACTCGAAGGCCTGGGAGCATCGTGCTGGGGCGGCCGAGTGTTCTCGCAGCGCTCCCAGAGCCCCGGCTGGAGGCTGTTTGTTGGCCGGGGTGAGCAGTGAGACGTCACCCCGTCCTCTGACCCACCAGCTATGGGCTGAGCTCCAAGAGGACTAGAGAATAGGATGGGCTGAGGTCCGACCACCCCACTGTCCCTGGACAACATGGAACAGGTGAGGCCGGGTCACAGTGGACATCAAGGGCTGACACCACAAGGGGCCGTCTGGGTTGGGGGGAGGACATTTGGGGGCAGAGCTGTATTAGAGCCTCCTGCCTTTCTCCAACATGCTCCTCCCCAGGCCTTGGCATCCTGATTCACGAGTCCCTAGGGTGGGCCCAGTGAGGAAATATCTAGTTGGCAGAGGGTGTTGGAGGAGAAGGGGAGGGGCGGCCGTCATTCAAACCCCAGCCTCCAGTCGTGAATTGCACAGGGTTACTCTCAGGCAGACCTGGGTCCAGGTCCCAGCTCTGCCGTATCCAGGCCTTGTGACCTTGGGTAAACCGCTTTCCTTCTCTGTACCTGGGTTTCCTCATCTGCAGCTCCCAGCTGGGGTGTGGGGCGAGTCCTGGGAGAAAGAGGCATGTGACGTGGTGGCTGGTAGGACCCTCCGTCTGCCCAGGCTCTGTGGAGACCTCTGGGCATCTCACACATGTGACCCTTGAACTCAGAGCACCTGGAAGCATTCACCTCTTAGCTTGTGTCCCCTGATCTACCTCATGTCTTCTACCTTTGCTGTCTCCACCTCCTGGTCAGAAAACGGGGTTCTCAGAAGCCAGAACTCAGCCAAGGGGGACCTTGGTCCCATTTCCTTTTTCCAGTAAAAAAACAAATGACCCATCTTCCAGGGGGTCTGACTTGTTGGGGGTGAGGCAGCAACTGGCAGGGAATTGGCCTCCTGGGCTCCGGGCCAATTCCCAGGCAAATGCCCAGACTAAGGCTGAAGTTCTTTCTGGGACCCAGCCGGGCTACTTTCTGAAGGTAAACTTCATGTGTGTGTTTGTTTTTTTTT